GATAGATAGATAGATAGATAGATAGATAGATAGATAGATAGATAGATAGATAGGGAGGTAGATAGGGAGATAGATAGATAGATAGATAGATAGATAGATAGATAGATAGATAGATAGATAGATAGATATAGAGATATAGAGATATAGAGATATATAGCTAAACCAAACTTTTTAAATTGATAGATACCATTGTGTCATTTTATTGTGTATAATGATGGCCACCCTGCTTCTCTAAGATAAGTGATTTGGATTCCATTCTAGTGAGATCATGCAGTATCTTCTGTCTGCCTTACCTACAGCATGCTTTCTCCAGCCTGAGCAGCATGTAGGTCCTTAAAACTTGCCAAGTTGTGTCAGACATGTTTGGCCTCAAACTGGAATGCCTTTATTTTGTCTTGCTGCTTTTCTTTCCAGCTTCACTCAGATGTGATGTCTGTGAAAAAGCCTTCCTGACACTCCACCCCACCACCGGGCAGACTCAAACTTGACTGTAGTGATTTGCAGGGGTGGCACCTCCTGTGATTTCCAAGCACACAGCAGGCAGCATCCCTTTGTCCATTGTGTCTGGCCTAGACAGGAAGGAGGACGTCGGCAAGTGTTTGTCAAATGAGCAAATCAATGAGGACATCTGGCAGAGGGTTGGAAATTCAAAAACAATAATAAAATAAAAAGCACCAAAGACAAATATGAACACACTCTGTATCTGCCCTTGATTCTCTTGCCTCAGCTGTGATGTTCATCTATCCTGGGCCCTGCTGTTGGCTGGGTTATATGTTTGGAATTGATTGGAACGGGAGAAAGAACACAGAATCCTAGGGAGAAAGGCTGGTAAATATTTGGGGACTGAAACAGTACCTCTAGCCACCAATGGCCCAAGTTAAGGGGAACCTGGCCGGCACATCTGGTTCCCTTCATCTTTCTAAACTTCTGGGTGCTATTTTCTACCACCACCTGGTGGCCACATCTGTAACAAGTTCCCAGCGAGGGAGCTAAGGGAAAGCAGTTGGTCCACCAGTGACCCATGAGAATGCACAGGTCTGAGTATGTACCTGTACCTTATTCTGAGAAGAGCTCCCAGAGCTTGTCACTAGGTTTTTAAAGATGCCTCTGATATACAAAAGACTAAGAATTAGTGCTGAAGGGGTTGATCCCTTTTTCTCTCCACTCAGGATCATCATAGAGATAGAAAAGCAGATCTGGCTCCCCGCTGTCAAACTGCACCCTCCAGTTTACCAAAGTACTTCTGCAGAACCCAGTTTAACAACCACTCTTATGAAGTGAAAGGCTTATAGAGCCTCTGATCCAAAGTGGACCCTCAGACATCATTGAGACCTACTAGGTCACACCTGGGAGAACATCGTGATGATGTTCACAGGGTGTGTCAGTAGCAATGCTAGGACCTAACATAAACTGCCCTCTTAATCATTCCTTTCTCTACTGCCTACCTTTTTTCCCACAACCATCACTTAAAATAATAAAAAATAATACCATTTTCTATCCTGAATATAGTTCCCAAATAGAACTCATTTTACCTACATATTTTTAGATGTCTGGAAAGAACCAGATTCCTCTCAACAAACCATGATTCCTGGTAGATAAGCCTATTTAAATTAATTAAATTTAAATTAATTCTTTAAAATGCAAGCATCAGTGCCCATAATCTGACTTCACTTTAAAAAGAAAAAACT